CACACCAAGCCAAGAGTACTTCCCAGAGCTGGAGTCCTCCCCTTATCAAAGGCACAGCCTGATGTGGGAAGCTGCCATACACTCCAGCAGGCAGTTGGGCTCTGAGGAAGGACAGCACAGCATTGACTACACATGCGAGGTGAAGCCCTGGGGAAGGAATTCAGCTCCCATTTCTAGAAAGAGGAGAGCAGAGCAAGTCCTGTGAGAGACTCCAACCACCAGCACCCCACTCTTGCCTTCTGGATCATCCCCCTTGGAAAAGGACATCTAGAAACTCCTGTATCCCCTCAGCTACAGCTTCACGTCTTCATTTAAAGAAATGAGATGATGACATCAAGTTCCTATCTTTGGAGAAGCCAGAGGAGCATCATCACTGGAGACATCACACCCAGGGAAGGTTTTCCCCTTCCTGGCAGCCAGGCAAACATGAATGCCATGAGTATCTGAGGGAAGAACACACCAGCACCTATCAGTGTCCCAATGAACCAGAGAAGGTGCTTTTAGTTCATTTGTTTAGTTAAAGAGTTTCTCCTTCGGCCACAGCTACGTAACCAGCCTGGAAACCTTCCCAAGGGCTTTACACTCCCCAGCTCCCTGTGCAGCCTCCCTGTGATGCCCATAAAAGCTCAGGAAGTGCAAGGCAGGAAGAAAAGCTAATCAGAGAAAAATGCATTGGATTTAAGGAGCAGGAATCCTGCCCACGGGGGTAGGCAGAGAGAAAAGCCACATTCTGGATAAGTGGGTAGTGTGGGCACAGCAGAGACCACACCAGAGCGCATTGAGTGGAAGCAGAAGGCCAGGCTTTTGGCCAACAAACCCACAAGAACAGGACACTCCGTGCCATTGGGATATTTTATGAGGACCCCAGTTTTCAGCCCTTTAGACACCAAGAGGCACAGCTACAGAAGCACATTCGCTCTGCTCGTAGTCAGGCTGCTCAGACACGATCCAGACCTGACACCACGTCACCAGAGTGCACGCTTCGGCTTGGCAGACACAGCAGTGGGGTTTCAGACCCAAGATGGCTCGTTTCTGGGCAGCTATAGAGATGACAGCAAGAATATGCAGCTCTGCACTTGTCTACATGGAATGCAGACCCTACAGCTGGAGATCGGGCAGATGAATGACCAAGCATGGTGTTGGCTGGGTTTATATATAATCTAGGGCTTTCTAGAAGGGTGCTCAGCAGCCAAGAAACTCAACAGTTAGTGGGGATTAAGTTCTTTGGACCCAGAACTCTCTCTTACCTCCCTCCTGAGAAGGGTTTGGGTGTACATGTGCATGGCTAAGGGGGGATTATATTCTGAGATGTGAAACTAAATCTACAACTGGTCCCTGCGCCTGAAGGAGGAACTCACAGCCTGCTGTAAAAGGCTGTAGTAATTCCAGTGTAAAAGCAGGTTTCTCCTCTGAAGCTGGTTCATTAGAGAAACCACCAACCAGACTATGTCCTTTCCAGGTAGATACCTGATACAGAGATCCTTGATCATGGATCCTTGCCCATCCGCATGATGTCATGGCTAACCTAGATACAATCAAGGCCAATCTATAACCGCTCTAGAGTGACAAAGCCTCCCTCCTGCTCACAGGAGTATTCCTTAGCAGAGGAACACAAGATGAGCCTGGTTTCCACAGGACCTTTTACAAGCATCCTGCAAAGAGGTGAGTGGTGTTTGTGGGTTTCTGCCTCACACCTTTACAACATCACTTGGTCAGTGGAACCAGCTGTATCCTCACCTCTGTGGGAAATGGAATCCCAAAGGAGCAGAGCTCTGGACAGAACCCAGTTCTTCCATCTCAGCAAGACCTCATGGCGTTTAGACACGCTCTAAACACTGAACACCAAGCCCACAACCCCTTGCACGGACCCCAGCTTTGCTGCAAGCCACGCTACGCTGCTCTTACGTGATGTATTTGTTGTACAGGATAAAGGCATGCTCCATGTTGCCCTCCTCGGAGTAAATGGTGGCCATGCGGAGGATCTCCACCCCGGAGCGGTAGTAGCGTCGTGGTGGGATGTCCTCATTCACTTCCACAGCACTTCCCACCTGGATCAGTCGTCGCACTCGCTCCTCCGGTGGGAGGCTGATGTCAGCGTGGTCAGGCATAGCCCCACACATCAAAGCTGTGGTGGGAGGGAAGGCAAACATGTCAAAACCAGTGTCAAACAGGTGGCTCATCCAGTTTATAGAATGGGTTGGGGTGGAAGGGACCTTAAGATCAGCCAGTTCCAACCCCCTGCCATGGGCAGGGGCACCTCACACTAGACCATGTCACCCAAGGCTCTGTCCAACCTCACCCTCCTCCATAGAAATCACCCCCTCAGCAGAAAAGCATTTAATTCCTGTTCCAAGCAAGGTCCTGAGGAAGAAAACTGGGAGAGGCCCAGCTCTTTTTGGGCACAGTGCTTGGACATTTACCTTGACAACCTGAAAAGCAGCCACAAATTCAAGCTCAGGCCACGGTAATGATGACATGGGTCTGACCCAACCAAATCCTACCCAAAACAGCATTTCCTTCCCACCTGTCTCTCTGCACAACAGAACTAGTTCTGGTCACTGGTTTGGGGTAGAACCGGCTTCACAGTGTGCACGGTTTCGCTTACACAGCAGCGAGACGAGAGGGGAGCTGAAGCCCGTGCTGCTCAGCAGATCTGCCCTCACCCAACCAGCTCAAGCCCAGCTTGCTCCTGCCTGGGCACAGTCACAATCCCTCTCTGCTCCGTGCTGCAGGAGGCACACCCGACACCCCAGGAATGCACCTCGACCTGATCCATGGGCCTGCCTCTGACAAAGCCTTCTAAGCCATGGCACAAGTCAATGAACCTGAAGCAGAGGAAGCAGCATCAAGACTGTCTGAGAGGCAGCGAGCCCACACTCAGCAATGCGCTTCCTTCTCCATTAAAAGCAGTTTCCCCCTGGAAAAGACACCCCAGAACCAGCTTAAGGGTTAAATTCCCTGTGAAGCCACAGAGCTGAATCCACAGCAGCTCCCAAACCCTCCAGCAACTCAACTGCCACACACAGAGCACGTAACTGAACCATAGAATAGAATGGTTTGGGCTGAAGGGACCTTAAAGCTCCTCCAGTTCCAACCCCTGTCATGGGCAGGGACTACTTCCACTGGAGCAGCTTGCTCCAAGCCCCTGTGTCCAACCTGGCCTTGAGCACTGCCAGGGATGCTGCAGCCACAGCTTCTCTGGGCACCCTGTGCCAGCGCCTCAGCACCCTCACAGGGAAGAGCCCTGCCTAAGAGCTCAGCTCAGTCTCCCCTCTGGCAGGTTCAAGCCATTCCCCTTTGTCCTAGCATGATTTACTGTGACTCATTCCTAAACAAGGGAAAGGTCCTGAGCTGAGCTAAGGATCTGACCTGAGGATCCTGAGCAGCAGAGGAGTTGCCCTTCTAGGGTTACTTCAGAGCACAAGTCCCTTGTTAAGACTGGGAGGTTCATGTTTCTGAGCCCAAATCCTGGAGGGGGCTCAACAGGCCTCTTGCCCTAAATAAGGGCTGTATGATGCAGTCCTGCCAGAAGTAGGCATGCCAAAGTACTTACTTATAGGGCTCAGAGTGACCTTCAGCTTCTCTTCCTCACTGCTGCTTCTACCAGGGGTGAGTTCAGCTGCTCCCCAAAGGCAGAGCTCTCAGTCACCCCCAACCAAGATCCACAATCCTCCTACCCCAGGAGACGACAAACACCACTCCCATGTGGTAACTCCCTGGTGCCTTCAATCCAGAGCTCCCCCTTTAATCCCCACAGCACCCCAAGAGATAAAGTACCCAAAGCACCCACCGAGCTGCCAGCCACCAAACTACAGCCCTCCTCCTCTCACCATTGGTCAGCAAAACATCATAAGGACATGGAGCTGTTGGAGCAAGCTCAGAGGAGGCCACGAGGATGCTCAGGGGCTGGAGCAGCTCCCATACAGAGCCAGGCTGAGAACATTGGGGCTGGAGAAGAGAAGCTGCGTGGAGACCTCAGAGCAGCTTCCAGTGTCTGAAGGGGGCTACAAGGATGCTGGGGAGGGGCTCTTCATCAGGGACTGTAGGGATAGGACAAGGGGTGATGGGTTCAGACTGAAACAGGGGAGTTCGGGTTGGAGATAAGGCAGAAGCTCTTCCCTGTGAGGGTGCTGAGGCGCTGGCACAGGGTGCCCAGAGAAGCTGTGGCTGCCCCATCCCTGGCAGTGCTCAAGGCCAGGTTGGACACAGGGGCTTGGAGCAAGCTGCTCCAGTGGAAGGGGTCCCTGCCCGTGGCAGGGGTTGGAGCTGGAGGAGCTTTAAGCTCCCTTTAACCCAACCCTGCCATTCCATGACACCCCCCGCAAACCCAGAGCCCTGCACAAGGCTCTCATTCTAAGGGCTCTCCTTCACACCCTGCAGGGAAGAGCGGAGGAGCCCCCACCACAAACACGGACGAACCCCCCCGGGCCCCAGCGTCCCACAACAAACCAAGGGGAGGCCCAAAACACATCCCTCTTCCTAACAGCAACGACACCCGCAGCCGGAGCCCCACGAAGGGAACCTCACGGGACAATCCCAACCGGAGCCCGCTTGTCCCGGCCCCCCAAGGGAGGAAGGGACCCCCCCGGCCCCCTAGAGCCGCCCATGGCCCCGAGCCCGGGCCTGACCTGCTGCCACCTCCCCTCAGCGCTTCCGGGTTCTGACCGCGACGCCGACAGCGCGGCCCCGCCCCGCTTTGAACAGCCAATCAGCAGCCGCCGCAACATCCGGGTACCACCCGCTCCCGCTCGGACAAGAGGGTGCTTCCCCTTTATTAGTGCAGTCACCTTAAAGGGGCAGCACCTAAACCCGAAAACACACTTTTTCACCCCAAAACGGTGGGGAGGGCCGAGTGCTCCGCCAGGCTGAGGGGAGAGCCGAAGGGTCGGTCTAAGCAGGGAGGAATACCTGCCCTGCAAGTGGGGCTGGGGGGTTACACACTGTGGGGATTTACTGCAGCGAAACTGGGTGAAAAGGACAAAAAAACCCAAATAATGGAGTTTAGGCTGAATAAAATCTGTTGTATTGAGAAAAATAAGGAAGACTCTTTCAGCTGACAGTTAAAGGGATGCTCCTGCGGATGTTTCTTCAGCATTAGTCCATTTGTGTCTGTGTTTATTCTTCCCTGAGGGAGCAGAGCTCTGACTCTGGAATTCCAGAGGAGACAAAATTCCTGTGGGATTTCTAAAAGCACAGAAAAGTTAAATGAAAACTGAGCTAAAAGATCTGTGCTGGGAACAACTACAGCTCCCAATGGCTGATGAAGGTTACAGCAAAGCTGCCCATTCCAGCGCTGAGCCCCATCCTGGAGGGATGAAAGAAACAGCCCTGGATGGGCTTTCCTTATGGACAACATTCTCTATGCTGGCCCAACAGGTTTCCGGTGATGGTGCCTGCGTCTCCTGGCTGGCTGCATTCCCTGAGCTGGGCAGAACTGGGGGTTCTGAGGGGGAAAGAACAGTCCATTGCTCTGCTCCTTGGTGGGGAGCAAGAGCTGACAGTTCCTCACTGCCAGCCTGTGGGGCTGCCTTGGATCCATGGCCCTGAGCTCATGTGCTGGCACCTGGTACGGTGTCTGTGCCGTGGCACCTCTTCTATGCCTCTTCTTGGAGCTGCCAGATTTCCTGGAATGAAAATTCAGGAGTCAGAACCAGGAGAAGTCACAGTAAGGGAAGCTTTCATGGAGTGGTTTGGGTTGGAAGGGACCTTGGAGCTCATTCATCTCTGCAGAGCTGGCAAGGCAGTGCTCTCTTGCGTGCTCTCTGAGATGTAGCTTGTGAAAGTCCAAGTTTAAGGGTCTTAAACATGAGAAAGGAATTCAAGAGCCAAAACCCTACCTGGGCACTGCTATGGGGAACTGGTCTGAATGATGTGAATGATGTTTGATCATCTGGTTGTTGCTGATTGGGGTAGGGGCAGCTTTTTGTCTGAAGCAGTCCGAGTCCAATCCGTTTAGTCCCCAATTCCTTAAAAAGAAATCTGCATGTTTTGACTGTTCCAACCATTCATAAATGGTCCAAAGAGTTCTTCTACACTTAAACCCCCCCATCCCTCTGTGTCACTGCTCCCCAAACAAGAACGGCAGCACATCTTTCAACTTAGATCTCCTCAGCTCCCCACCTTCCTCTTTCCCCACTGGCCCCTTTGATCTCCCTTCCTAGGAACCAGTCACATTAAGCACCTGCTGCTTGACATCAGCTCTCCCTGAGCACACACTTGATTATGCACACAAAAAGACTTACTTTTTTACAGGTCTCTGCTGAAGATGTCGGATATAGTTGATTCTCTCTATAGGATGCCCTCGAGCTCTGTTGAACACTGGAGAGAAACAGGTCTGAGTTGCAACACCACTCTGTACATGCCACTTTAGGGGCTGCAGAGGACTTAATTCCTTCAGAAGGATTTTAACCCCTTCAACCAACACTAAAACGCTTAGGTCACACAGGGTGACTTCACTCAGTACTACTGCCCTTCACACCACAGCCTGGGACAGGGCAGAGCTGCAGTGATCCAACCCCTGTCCAGTGCCCACCATGTTCCCTCAACCAGGCTCAGCTCCACAATCAGGCCATAAACTTAATTCCAGAGGGACCCTGAAGGCCGTAGAGGCGGGTCAGTGCAAACCTCATGGAATTCAACAAAGCCAAGAGCAAGGTCCTGCCCCTGGGTTGGGGAAATCCAGTACAAACATAGGCTGGGGGAGGCTGGATGGGACAGCCCTGAGGAGAAGGAACCGGGCTGTTGGGTGAGGAGAAGCTTGCCATGATGTGGCTTCAGTGTGAGCTTGAGCCCAGAACCCCCCCCATGTGCTGGGCTTCACCCCCAGAATGTGCACAGCAGCTCAGGGAGGGGATTCTCCCCCTCTGCAGTCCTGATCCAGCTCCCATTCCACATTACAGGAACACAGAGCTAAACCACAGCTACCTCCCTGGAGCCAGCCCAGGCCTTCTGACCATCTAAAACCACAAGTCCACAATAAAGACCCCGCACCCAACAAGAACATCACACACGTACGTACACTCAATTGCAGTGTTTGCCTCCATGCCTTCAACATCAATCAGGTACCTGCACAGCAAGAAAACTCTAATTACACAATTAGCCATGGAAACATTGAGAGGTCTGAGCTAATTCAACAAGGAGTAACTGGGAAGTTTTTAGAGCTTCTATTTCTGTGCCAGAATGGAGGATCAGCATTTGGGCTGCTGAAATTTGGCCCAAGAAGTATCCCCAACAACAAGCTTCTGGAAGCTGCAAAGCTCTAAATCTTTGCAAGTCTGGGATGACACAAGTTCACTTGACTCTTGACTTACTGCTGCAACTCCTGGAGCACCAAGCAGCTGGCAATGCCACCACTGAACCCAGTTTGACTCACCTACAAACCAGGTAGCCGGTTCTGTTCAAGCCATGTGTGCAATGAACTCCTATGAGTTTATCTGTAAGACACCAAAATCAGGTTATATTTAAACAGCCTTACTGCAAAATCCCACCAGAACAAGCCCGTTTGCTTTCACTCTCCAGCAGTGACACCAGCATAAATGACTATAAGGGACCACACACCAACATCACTATATTTATGTCTAATTAAAGCCACTGATTCGACTCACAGACTCAGTTAATCCTGAGTTTATCTGCATGGTCAAACAGCTCACTATGGGGAAGATGTATTTAAAAGCTCCACAAAAAGCCATTGCATGTTTCCCAAGCACCAACAGTCATCTGTGTTTACAGAGAGCCTAGAGATGGACTCTCAAATGCAATTAAAGCTCCACTCAGTGCCAAATTATCAGAGAGCCAGCAGTAATTCCTTCACCACAACAATCCAAACTTACTGTCTTGACATTCACATGCCAAGAAGAGGAAAAGAAATTCATGCTGCTCATTCAGCATAGGAGGGACATGGAGCTGTTGGAGCAAGTCCAGATCAGGGATGGAATCACACTCCCGTATGGAGCCAGGCTGAGAACACTGGGGCTGTTCAGCCTGGAGAAGAGAAGCTGCATGGAGACCTCAGAGCAGCTTCCAGTGTCTGAAGGGGGCTACAGGGATGCTGGAGAGGGGCTCTGCATCAGGGACTGTAGGGAGAGGACAAGGGGTGATGGGTTCAGGCTGAAACAGGGGAAGTTCAGGTTGGAGATAAGGGAGAAGCTCTTCCCTGCGAGGGTGCTGAGGCGCTGGCACAGGGTGCCCAGAGAAGCTGTGGCTGCCCCATCCCTGGCAGTGCTCAAGGCCAGGTTGGACACAGGGGCTTGGAGCAAGCTGCTCCAGTGGAAGGGGTCCCTGCCTGTGGCAGGGGTTGGAGCTGGAGGAGCTTTAAGGTCCTTTCAACGCAAACCAGTTTGGGATTCTACGATTAACACATCTCTGGCCTCCAGCCCTGCAGTGCCCTTCCCAAGGGAAATCCACACTTACTGTTGTTTCTGTTGTCTCTCAGAAACTGTTTTACAACATACTTGAACTGAGAAACAGTGTGCCTGTTTGGGATTTGATGTCCCATTGTCAAGATCTTTGAGTAGAAGACTGAGGCTGGGAGCTCCTACAAGAAAGTCAGTCAGTGATTTCCACAGAAAGCACAAGGATTCTTATCACATAAGCACTCACTCAGAAGCAGCTTTTCAGCTAAGACCAACAGAGCAGCAGCACTGTTTTAGGTAAGAACGCTTCTGCTTCACCCCCTGGGCATAGGCCCAGTATTCTAGAGCAGCCTTTTGGCATTTTCATTTCTCTTGCCTTTCCTCCCCAAGGAACATGCAGAGGCTGGAACACTTTTCCAAGCCATTATCCACACATTTGATATCACAAGGCAAAGCTGGTTGTAAGCAGGTATTTGCTCAGGAGAAGCCTACAAAAACAGGTTTAGGGGAATCACAAAACTTGTGCTGATTGGGACAAAGAGGATCTACACAACAGAGTTTAAAGATTCCAGGCCTGAACTTGATTGAGGATGAAAACCCCACCCCAATGGGCCTTCAATGCCTCAACTCACCCCCCTGCCAGAGGATCTGGGCGCCTCACACTAAAGTTATCTTCTTGTAAGAAACATCTTGCCCCTTATCAGCAATGTCAAGGCTTACACAGAGCTCCACTTCCTCAGCAGCAGGATCAAGACTCACCTCCGGCTTGTAGTAACGAGTGGTGTAGGTCAGGTCAATGATCAGGCCCAGCTCTTCCTTCTGCTCTTTGATTTTCTTAATAAGGTCATGGGGTGAAAATCTCTCCTCCGGATGAAGGTTCTGATCAAAGCTCTAAAGGGAAATAATGTTTAAGAGCTGATATTAACACTCAGGTGAACTGTGAACTGGAGCAGGAATGCTCCAGAACAGCCCAAAGATCATCCCTTCAAAGAGAAGGGCTCAGGCAAAGCCAGATGGACACACAGGTTACACTGAACCAAACCAGAACATGCTCAGGCCCTTGCTGCTTTGAGGCTGCTCAGCTGAGGGTACAAAGCAGACTTTTCCCTGTGGCAGAACACTGCACTGTGAAAAAGCACTCGCAGAAAGTGAAGTTTTGTTTAGTGAAAGCCATCAAACAGAGCTTCAGCTCAAAGAGAAGGGAGCAAACAGCACCACTCCTGGCCATGGGCTTCTCAGCCCCCTTGGACATTAACCAGTGTTTGCTTTAGGAGCACCTGCCCTGCTCAGACCCCTCCAGAGCAGAGCAGGATCCTGCACAGAATCAGCTTGATTGGAAAAGAGCTTTAAGCTCATCAGGTCCAGCTGTTCCCCAGCACTGCCAAGGCCACCACTAACCCATGGCACTGAGGCCTTGACTCCACAGTGTGTGAACACTTGCAGGGGCGGTGCCTGCAGCCCTGCCCTGGGCAGCCTGTTCCAATGCCTGAGCACCCTTTGGGGCAGGAATTGTTCCTCAGCTCCATCTAAACCTGCCCTGGTGCACCTTGAGGCCGGTTCCTCTTGTCCCATCCCTTGTTCCTTGGGAGCAGAGCCCAACTCCTAACCCCTGCTCCTGAACACTGTCTCTGGCACTGCATTCCTTGGGATGTGCAGCCCCCAGGCTCCTGGCAGCACCAGCGGGAGGTGTTCACAGGATCCCTCCTGCCCTAACACAGTAACGGGGGAATGCTCAGAGCACGGTGCCGGGACCCAGAATCATGGAATGGCTTGGGTTGGAAGGGACCTTAAAGCTCGCCCTGCTCCTGCAGGCGTTCCCTCATCGCTTTTACACACACCGACTCCTCCTCGCTGCCACTCCCACCCTGCACACGCCCATCGCGCACTCACCTTCCTCAGGGGCACCTTGAAGGCGATGAAGCGCGTTCCCGGTATCCTCCTGCCCAGCGGGATGTAGTCGGTCCACCTAAACCCCACAGCACCGAAGCGTTAAACAGCAAGACCGCGGTGCGGCCTGGCCCAGCGGCCACCTCCCCTCCCTCCCCACCCGGGGACTCCCAAAGCCACCCAGGCCCCGGGGGCCCTTCCCTGCCGCGGCTCCCGGAGCCGGGAAAACCCCGGGAGAGGCCGAGGGGGACCCGGGTCCGTGCTCACCGGTCGGGGATGCGGGACGCGCCTCTACCCACCATGGCGGCGGTGGCGTCAACACCGAACCCGGCAGCATCATTTCCGCTTCCGCCACACGGCCCAGAGCTGCCGCCGTGCGGGAGGTGGAGCCATGCGGAGGCCACGCCCCCTGGAGACCGCGCCCCTTAGCCCATCGGGCACGCCCCCTCTGTCGTGTGAGCTCGCCCACTGCGCGGCAGCTTCTGTGTCTAGAGCGCCGCGTAGCGGTGAGAAGTGGGTATAACGGCACCGGCATCAGCATGACCAGCACTGCCATCACCGGCATCAGCATCGCTGATACTGGCATCAGTGGCTGCACTCACTGGCATCAGCATCGCTGGCACCACTGGAATCAGCGTCACTGGTACTAGCACCAGTGGCACGCCAGTACCAGTGTGAGCAGCTGGGGCTGCTTTCCCATATGCAGACACATATACACATACATATACATACAAATATACACATACATATGCATAGACACACATATACATACAAATATGCACATACATATGCATACAGCATACATATACATACATATATACATACATATGCATACACACATCCATATACATACGCACGTATATATACATATATACATACATACACATACACACACATATACATACAAATATGCACATACATATGCATACAACATACATATACATACAGATATACATACATATGCATACACACATCCATATACATACACACATATATACATATATATACATACACATATATACAAATACATATACATACACATACATCACATACATATATACATACATATGCATATACACATACATACATGTATACACATACATATACTTACACACATATATATACATACATATATACATACATACATACACATATGCACTGTGCACACCATCACCACTCAGACTCCACACTTCCCTGGCCCTGGGAGCTTTATCCCAGGGCAGGGACTCAGCCAAGCCTGGGCAGGATTTTCCAGCCCACAGCATCTCATTCCCAAGCCGGTGGTGGGGAGCACCTCCCTGTGCCCAGCCTGGAAAAACTCTGGGAGAAACCCCCCTTTTCCAGAGGGAGGGAAACCACCAGATTAGCATCAGTGCTGGCAGGAGGGAGGCACCAGCAGCCGGTGATGGGGAAGGGCCGGCTGGACTCACCGGCCAAGCAGGGGCCCCGCTCTTAGGGTGCCCTGTGGCCGTCTGGGCGCACGGGGCTGCTCCCCCCGCACTGGGGAGATCAGGTTCAACCTCCTTCCTTTGCAGCTCAGCCCTGTAATTACTGCTTGGCCCATGCTGGAGAGCAGGATCTGGCCCTGGGAAGGAGCCTTGGCTGCCTCGGGGTGTGAGGCAGGGACTGGCTGAGCCTGGAAAACTCATCTCACGCGTGGCTATGGAGCGGGATCACCGGCCGGGACTCACCGGCCCTTTCCATGTGTTCCCCCTTGTTTTCCTTTTCCCTTCCCGTTGCTACCCCAGATCCTACGATGCTTTTGCAAAGGGCGATTCTGCCCCATGGGCACCCCACTCTGTAGATCCACCATTAAGGGCTTTCCCACCCAAGTGATGCCCAAATCCCAGCCCCGAAGGTTGCTGTGATGGGATCAGCACCCATCCAGCCTGAAGTCAGGGGGGTTCACGGCCACCAAAACCCCGATGAGGCTTTGGGAACAACCTGGACCACGGGGACCCCGCGGCGGTGACTCAGGGATGCAGGGGGTTGTGAAACGAGCCTGGGATAGTTTGGGAGACGCCTCCAACGCAGCCGCCCCGGGGAGCCCGTCAAGGGAACAAGCCACGGCAGCGTCTGGGCTTTGACCCGTCAGGCAGGTTTCCCGGAGCAGCACGCCGAGCCGGAGCGGCTATCCGGAGCCGGGAATGCCCCTCTGCCCGCTCGCAGGCTGACGGAGCCCCTCCGGCTCTCTCCTCGCCATGCATGCAGCCGGGTTGCTGCTGGCTTGGGCACTGCTGCGTCCCGCTGGTACCCAGCAATGCCACAACGCCGGCCCCGGGGGTGTCCTCCGCTTCACTGATACCCACGCTGAGATTCGGGTGCCGGCGTTGCACCGGGTGCCCAGCTCGCTCGATCCCCTCTACGGCCTCGTGCGGCGCTGCCTGGACCTCATCCAGCAGAACCCGCTGCCCACAGGTGAGACACGGAGCCGGGATCCGCACGGATCTGCTGCAGGGGGGGCCTGAGCCAACTCATGGAGCTGATGAGCTTAAGGGTCTTTTCCAATGGAGGAGGAGGATGGTGCCTTCATCACTGCCGGGAGGGTTGGGGGTGCATGGGGTTGGACCTCTTACCGGTGCCATGATTTCTCTTGTAGAGCTGCTCAGGGCAGCCCTGAACGACCCCAGCTCGGTGCAGACATCGCAGGTGAGCCGGGATGTTGGGGTACGGATCCCATGGGGACGGTACCCAGCCGGTACTGGTGCTGAGCGGGCTCTCCCATCACACAGGTGGTGCAGTATGAACTGGGCTACGTTGTCTGCGCCGCGGTGGCTCTGCTCTTCACCGTGGCCGTGCCGATGGCCGGGATGTGCTTCTGCTACTGCCGGAGCCGGCGGCGGTGCGGGGGCCGCCTCCGTGCCCATCGGCGCTCACTGGGCTGCCGCAGGCACTGCCTGCTGAGCTGCCTGTCCCTCACCTCCCTCATCATCCTGTAAGTGCCCACAGTACCCCACATCCCTGCACCCTCACCCTAAACCCCATCCTATGGGTCCGGGAGGAGCAGCTCCATCACCTCTTGCTCATCCCCGGCAGGGCCAGCGTCATCTGTGCCTTTGTCACCAGCCAGAGGGTGAAGGTGCAGATGGAGCCGGGGCTTGGGGCTGTGCCAAGCACCCTGCGCACGCTGCGGCAGCACATCGCCAATGTCCCCCAGGTAGGTCCCCAAGTGGCTTTCTCCACCCTGGCATGGGAATGGCTGCGTTTCCCTCCTGGAATAGTGTGGGAGGTGAAAGGAGGTGGAATGGCTGCATTATGAATGCATTTTCAATGGAAACATGGGGTTTCCTCCCCTCCCTGTGGCTGCTCCCCCTTGGCTGACCGGTTCCTCTGCTGGCAGGGGGTGCAGATGGTGGTGGATCAGTTCGAGGTGCCCCGACAGCAGATAACCTCCGACCTGGGCGGTAAGCGCTGCGCCAAGCACTGCCAGGTCCCATTGCCAGCTCCCAACTGGGATGAGATGCTCACAGGGTGCCCATCGCCTTGCAGGGCTCAGCCGGAGCGTGGGGCTCTCCATCCACGCACAACTGAAGGCCATGACCTACGCGGCGCTGGCGGAGCTACAGGACAGGGCTGGAGGTACGGGGCGAGCGCGGTGCTCCCTCGGGGCCGGTGCCGGAGGGCCGGTGGTGGCCGAGCAGAGCAGCGTGACCTAGCCCTCGGCTTTCTCTTTAAGACCTACAGACCTCGCTGCACCATTTACAGATCCTGGAGCAGACGGCGCGGGCGCTGGCGGCGGCGCGGGATGAGCTGGACCCGGTGCTGCGGGAGCGCCGGCGCCGCGTGGTCGCGTTGTTGGATGACCCGCGCTGCACCTCCTGTGCCAGCGTCCTGGGCAGGGCACAGAGCCTGGAGCTGGGCGCTGACTATGGCAAGGTGCTGGGACATGGTGCTGGTCACCCACCACCACCACTGCTCCGGCAAGCGCCGGGATTCATGGTTGCTTCTCCCATTCCAAGGTGCCGTCGGTGGAGAAGGTTCTGAAGGCGCTGGCTGGGCTGCCCCGAAGTGACTTTGCGGAGATGATTCGCCAGGTTTGGGGGGTTATAATGAAGCAAGGAGGTCCCCATTGGACGGGCAGCCCCATTCAGGTCACTCAGCATCCATTCTTTCCTCACAGGGCAATGGCACCTTCAACTCCATCCCGGAGCTGGCTGTGGAGCGCATGGCGCAGGTCATCCAAGGTGAGTGGCATGGGTGAACTGAGTGGGGATACCCTCCGTGGGGTGAATAATCCCATAATGGATGGATGTGGGGACCATCCATCCCTTGCACGGCCTTGTCCCTGCAGATCTGCGGGATGAGATGGCACGCACGACCGAGAAGGTCCAGTCCATCGCCGACAGCTTCCCCCTCCACGACTACACCCGGCCCGTGAGCGAAGCACTGATGAAGGCAGAGGACCGGAGCCAACCGTACCTGCGGGAGGTGCAGCGCTTCGAGCACTACAGGTGACACCGGGGGGGGCATGGATGGGTGCAGCAGTGATGGGTGCTGACCCCTTCCCCAAGCCCCAGCTGGTCCCCCAGCCCCACATCTCAAGTTTGCTCTGTCCTGCAGGTGGATCGCAGGCACGGTGCTGTGCTCCATCATCCTCCTCATCCTCGCCTGCAACGTGGCAGGGATGGCGCTGGGTGCGTACGGGCTCTCCAAGCGGGAGGACCCGAGCGACTACGAGTGCCGAGGAGAAGCCGGTGCCAAGTTCCTCCTGGTGTAAGCATCAATCCGGGGGCTGTTGGCATCTCACCCCTCTACAACGCAGAGAGGGCAAAGCCAAGGGAGGGACAGGCTGAGCCGAAAGGTGTTGGAAGCCACCGCCTGCGCCGGCAGGTTTGGGAGCAGCGGCTCCTCCCTGGGATCTGGCAGCTCCCGCGCCCTGTTCCCGCTGCCCGGCACACCCCTTCCCAAGCAACCCGGCGTGCCCGGGCGCGGGAAGGAGCCGCGGGGCTTCCGGCAGGTCCCCACAAGCCTTTCTGCCCTCTTGGGGCTGTAAAGCAGCCGCCGGCGCCTCCTCTCCCTCTTTCAGCGGCGTGGGCCTGGCTTTCCTGTTCTCCTGGCTCCTCGTCCTCCTGGTTTTCGCCACCTTCCTGGTCGGGGGCAACATCCAGACGCTGGTTTGCAGGAACTGGGTCAACCAGGAGATATATAAGGTGAGTGGTGATGCATGAGTGTCCTAGAGAGAGGACAAGGGGTGATGGGTTCAAACTGAAACAGGGGAGGTTCAGGTTGCAGATAAGGAAGAAGCTTTTCCCTGGTGTCCCCATCCGTTGCAGGAGGTTGGGACTGGATAATCTTTAAGTTCCCTTCCAACCCAAACCATTCCATGATTCTATCATCCACCCATCACCCCATAGAGCTCCGTTTGCATGCCCCAAAATGCCTCCAAATGCTCTGTGTCCTCCCTCTTAAACCCATTCACAAAAGCCCCGCCGCTCCCAGTGGATTAAGGTTAGGATTAGGACCTTGGATTTGCATCAGCAGCAGGAAATTGCCCTTGTGCTGTTCATTCCCTCGAGGCGATGATGCTCCTAACCTGCAGGACCCCGTCCCCTGGTCCTTGGGGATCAGGAGGGTGCTTTGGGCTGCAATGGGGCTGAGAGAGGGGTTGGGAATGGGATCAGAGTTTGTCCCATGGCTTTACACATGGAGGCTGTGCTCTGCTTTCCCTCTGAACACCACCCAGTGAGCTTGTGGAGACCACTGCAGCAAGACCAGCTCTGGCTGGGATGGGGTAACCCCAACATGCAACTGTGAGGCCAGAACACCCCAAAATCACAACCGTGGCCTTCTTTTTCCTCCTGTTTAACCCAGTTCATCGACACCCCCGGGAACCTGCCTCCATCCATGAACCTCACCCGCCAGCTCAACCTCAGGCGGGACTCCAACCTCAGCACCACGTACCGGTGGGTACCGCAGGAGCCCCGCTCTGCCCTTCCTCATCAGGAGGGCTGATTTGGGGTCACATCCCTTTGCCTTCCAGGGAGTGCAAGAGCGGTGCAGGGCTGTGGGAGGTGCTGCATCTCGACAGGGCTTACGACTTGGATGAGCATCTAAAAACCCCCAAGGTGAGGGCTGGATCCAGGCAGAGCTTATGGGGATGCCATGGGGATGGCACGAGCTTTACTGGGGATACAGGAGGGAGGTCTGGCTCTCCCATGCCCGGCTCCATAACATCCATGCCACCACCGCAGTACACGGCTGACTTCCAGAAGCGCCTGGCTGACTTCACAGCGCGCTTGGGTGATGTGCGGCTCCTCCGCAGCGAGGGCAGGCAGGACCTGGAGACCTTCGCCCGCAGCGGTGTGGATGAGGTGGACTATGGGCGCTTCCAGGAGGAGGTGAGGGGATGCTCGTGGTCCTTGCTGCAATGGGCAGGATGCAGCCCGACCATGCCAGGACCCAGCTTCCAGGGTTGGAATTGCATCTGGCACCGAGTCCATCTTCCCGCAGATGAGGAAGCCGGTGGTGCAGACCAGCATCCCCGGCTTGGCCAGGAGCCTCGAGGGGCTGCAGAAAATGCAGGTGAGTGATGGGGAGAGCATCAGGAGCTGCCTTCAAGCCCATAGGGGCATCCTCACCCCATTGTGTCCCCCCACAGAGGAACAGCACGGTGGCGGGGCGCCTGGCTGCCGAGGCTCAGGCCCTATGGCAGATGCAGAACTCCACGGTGCAATCACAGGAGGCCTTGGTGGTGAGTGCGTGTTGGGTCGGTGGCTCATGGTGCTGCTGGTGGCTGCCCAGTGGTGTCCATGCGAATGGGGTGATGGAGCTTTGGAACCCTTCTCACTTCCCTGTCCTACAGGAGAAGCTGGGAGAGAGCGTCCAGTTCCTGTCCCACTTGGCTCCGCACCTCCAGGTACTTGAGTGGTTTCTTCCAGCTTGAAAATGCCCAATGGGTCCCAAAATCCCAGTGCCGGGTGATGGGAGAGCCAGGGAAAACACCATCAGATCTGCAAATGGCCCTAAGGGCATTTCAGCATTCCCAACAGGAGCATCCGATGGCGTTTCCTCTTGCCAGGGGGTTTCTCTGCTTGGAGCAGGTCCCTCTCTCCCTGATATCCCACAGCCAGCTGGAAGCTCTGTGGTTCTTACCCTGCTCCTGGCACCCCCGGGGCACCCATCCTGCTGCCGGGTGCTCTAAGGATGCTTTGCCCTTCCCGTGCTTCCCTAGGAGCGGGTGAGGACCACACTGGCCACCATAGCCTCGGTGGAAGCCCGGCTGCCTGTGCAAGCCCAGCAGATCCTCAGGCAGGTGAGCAGGGGCCGGATATGCCCTCAAGGGGGGACAAAATTCCCTGGGGCTGGAATGAAAGAGTGGGAACACTGCAAGGGGTCAAGTGGCACCTGAGGCTTCCAGTCCTTGTTTCCAAGCCTGGTGTTAGCCCTGAGCTGATTGGAGCAGGGCTGGGAACATGATTCCTGCTTTCCACGCTGCCTTCCCTTTGCCTAGGAGATCGGCTGCTTCACCAGGAGGGAGCTGCGGTACTTCACACAGTACCTGAACTGGGTCGGGCAGACGGTAGGTGCTGATCCTTTGGGACTGGGAGCCCCAGCTCCCAAAGGCAGGAATGGGATTATTCCTTGTCTCTGCTTCTTATGGCAGCTGAGGGAGGATGTGGCTTCGTGTCAGCCGCTCGCCACGGCGCTGGACAACGGGCGGGTGATCCTGTGTGACCGCATCGCTGACCCCTGGGTAAGGATAACTGGTGTTATCCTTATGTTATCCCAGTGTAAGGACATGGAGTCCAGAGGAGGCCATGAGGATGCTCAGGGCCTGGAGCAGTTCCCGTATGGAGCCAGGCTGAGAACATTGGGAATGTTCAGCCTGGAGATGAGCATTCCCCACGCAGCTCAGCAGGGACCCCCATGCTCTCTCCTTGCAGAATGCCTTCTGGTTCAGCCTGGGATGCTGCACCTTCTTCCTCATCCCCAACATCATCTTCGCCATCAGGCTCACCAAACACTTCCGACCCATCCGCAACCGGCTCATGTAAGCACTGGGCATGGGGTGGGAGCTGCAGGGAGGGAGATGTGGGTTCCTCCTTGATGCCCTGATGATCTCTCCTTCTCCCTCTGCAGCTCTACAGGGTCAGAGGAGACCTGTCCCTTCCACATCCCCCGTGTCACAGCGCTCAAGCTCTAGCCGGGGGCCTGCTGGCTGCAGCAGCATTCCCTGTGCTCCTGGAGCTCCCATCAAACCCATGCTCAAGCACCGAAGAGCTCCAGGTCCCTCCGACGTCTCACAGGGCTCGGGTCCATCCTGACATCTCCTCCTCGGTGTCCTTTGGGGTCTGAGCATCCTTCCCGGGTGCGGGACACTCATCTCCATGCTCTGGGGTCTCCTTCTGATATCCCTCCCTCGGCCACCTTCGGGGGCTGAGCACCCAGCAGGGATGCTCCCAGATGATCCAGGAAGGCTCCCCACAGCTCCCAGTAACCACTGGTGTACCCCTTGCAGACCCATGGGGAAGGACACCCGCCCGCTGCCCCACACTGGCACATTAAAGTCCTTACCACTCAAACCCACTTCTGCCTCTTTGTCTTGTGGCCACCATCTCCTGTTCCCATTGGGAACCATTCAGGCCTTGGAGGTGGGGGTTACAGCAGGGTGCTGTTAATTAGTGCTTAATTAGAGGTGGGGTCAAAGCTGCTGATTAAGGTGTGTGGGGGGTACACTGAAGGTAGTTAATGGCTCTGGCCCCCTCCCAGGGAAGCCCAGTGGGCTGTGACAGGATAAGGTTCAGAGATGCTGGTGATAAGGTGCTGTTTGGAAAACCAAGCTTGAAGAGATGCACAACCAGACTACAACCACTAATAGCTACTGTGAGTTAGTCATTGAGTGCACAGAAGATAAAGCTCTCACCCAATGGGTGTCCCTATGGGGGAGAAGACACGTTCAGCCCATTGACTGATCCCAGATGGAGTCTTCCCTATCTGCTCCCCTCTTTCATTCCCTTTATAGAATCCCAGCCTGGTTTGTGTTGGAAGGGACCTTAAAGCTCATCCAGCTCCAATCCAGGGACCCCTTCCACTGGAGCAGCTTGCTCCAAGTCCCTGTGTCCAACCTGCCCTTGAGCACTGCCAGGGATGGGGCAGCCACAGCTTCTCTGGGCACCCTGTGCCAGCGCCTCAGCACCCTCACAGGGAAGAGCTTCTGCCTTATCTCCAACCTGAACTCCCTCTGTTTCAGTCTGAACCCATCACCCCTTGTCCTATCCCTACAGTCCCTGATGAAGAGCCCCTCTCCAGCACCCTTGTAGCCCCCTTCAGACACTGGAAGCTGCTCTGAGGTCTCCACGCAGCTTCTCTTCTCCAGCCCCAGTGTTCTCAGTCTGGCTCCATACAGGAGCTGCTCCAGCCCCTGAGCATCCTCGTGGCCTCCTCTGCACTCCCTCCAACAGCTCCATGTCCTCATGCTGGGGACACCAGAACTGCACTTGGTGGAGTTTCAGTGACTCCAGTCACACATTCTGCTGTTACGGATCAGTGTAAATTCTTCACTTCAAGACAGAACAGTTAAAAACCATAAAGCACACGCTTGGTGAGGTGTGGCTGTACCTTGGAGGTGGGTACCTTCGGGATGGAGGTGTGAATGCATATACAATGAGCAAGGTTCACCTAAGGAAAGTGGTTTCACCACAGCTGCTGGCTCAGACATGCACATCTTCTGTTTTCCAGTTGACAGCTGCTATGTGCCTTATCAGCTGCATGGGACCATCCAGTTCCCATCCCTGCAGGGAACAACAGGGGTGTTTCCACTCCACCCTCCCCTGCTCCTCTCAGAGAGCAGGTTGTGAAACTGTGTTTTACCCTAAACCCCTCTATTTTACCCTAAAAAAGGGGGTATTTCTATAATGCTACAATTTCTGTTAGACTCCAGTTTTCCCTAATTCCACCCCACCAAGTGATACCCCCCGATCATTACAAGGTTATTGATACCCACAGCAATAAAGCACAACCCCTCTTGCTGAGGGCTTTGCATTGCTGAGGCTCTTGCTGCCTAGAGCCAGCTGCTTTATTCGGTATTTACCCTGCAGAGGTCAGCATTGCAAAGCCTTTTGGCTAAAGGGCTTTGGGGAGCTGAAGCCCAAAGGAGGATTTCGGCAGGAACAACCATCCCCAGTGGTGTCCTCAGCCCATCAGGAAGCAATGGGATGGTTGGGGGAGCTTGGAGCAACCTGCTCTAGTGGAAGGTGTCCCTGCCTATGGCAAGGGGTTGGAACTGGATGGGCTTCAGGTCCCTTCCAACCCAACCCATTCCGTGATGCTATGATTATCTACTTCATACAGAAACATAAATGATATAATACTTGTTAAGCTGATTTCCTTTTTGGTTAAGAAACGATAACAGGCAGTGATAAGAAGTTGGATTCAGCTGGCTCTTCTTCCTTAAGTTATTTCTTGTAGCTGGGTCACAATATATAACAGATGAGCACATAGGTAAGTAATGAATAACAGAGGAATTCACCCCAAAATAGACGTGTATTATAAATACACCTGGTCACCACTGTAATATATATATATTACAGTGTATATATATATACATGTGTATTATTACAGCACTATGTCCAGCCTGGGGGCGGATGGATCAAAATGCGAGCAGTTGTAGCTCTGAGTTAATAGTAAATCACTAATAAATAATCCAGAAAATTGTCCTAAACCAACTGAAGGCACTTGATTTTTTAGGAAAAAAGGGAAAAATAGGAAAGCTGGGGCCACATTCCTCACCCAAAGCAAGCTCACGGGGTATGATCAACCTCCGATCCCTCCCCACAGTGACCCCCTTGCATAGGCTCTCCCACCTTCCCTCCTCTCGATGACTTGTATTGGTAAGTTAAAGACTGAAGTGAGCCCATTTCCAGCTCCTGGATGTGTTTTCCTTCTGTGAAAAGTGGGTATCATCTCCTCCATCACGTTTCCCTATCGCAGTTTGTGTGGGATCTGTGGCCTATGCACTTCTAAGGGCTTAGCTAAACTGGTGTTGATCAAACCATTTCCCTTCTCACATCCTCCTGGCTTGAAACCCAACTCCGGTGACACCTCACTCAGTGCATCCTCCTCCTGCTCTCCCTGCTGGCCCCCAGAACTCATATATATAATTAATATCCATCAGATCAATAATTCAAAGGGCTGGGGCTGCAGCTCTGCTCAGCCCAGGTGTGGTTCCCCACCGCCACCTATTTCAAGACATAAATCGCTCTTCTCTATTCCCGGAACTAAGGAGAAATACAGGAAAAGCCTTTGAAAGAATCAGCCTATTCCTGAAGCTGAATGGAAGGAGTTGGGATGAAAACAGGCTCCAGGTTACTATTGTTGCTCCATTTCCTTTCTTTCTTCTTCTCCCCATTTTTCAAGGAACACGACCTCCTTTCTTAGCTCCCGAAAAAGCCCCATGACCTCTTCCATCTGCTTTTCTCATCATCCCCTGGAAACAGCTCAGAGAGCTTAGATACAAAACAGCTGCCACGAAGGGCTCAATCCCACCCCAGTGCCAAGAAATGTTCATTTTGAGGTTATTTGCACAGGGGACCTGTAGCAATTAATAAGGGAGCCGTAAGACCCCAATTCTCAGCTTTATTCCATTAAATCTCAGCTGAGGAATTGACATAATTATAGCCAACTTTCCTTTCTTTTTGAGCAGTGGATTAGCTCATGAATCCTTAGCAGAATAACCAGGCTCCCAAACAAGCTGAGCTTTGTGAGGAGTCAAGTCCCAGAGGCTTTGCTCTGGCTTCCTTTAGCTTTCACATGACAAGCTCCTCGGATTATTGATGCCACAACAGTATCTTGGACAACATGGATATTTCAGGCCAGAATATGGACAAGAAAGCACCCCAGGAACAATAAGCACTGTTGTATTATTAGTGCTGATTATTCTTTGCATTTAATGGCTGTGGATGGGGCTTTGCTTGCAGGAAACCCCCTTGCACCAGGCCTGGATAAGCAGTGTATCCTGACCCACTGCTGTGAATGCAAAACTCATTTCCTCCCGTTTCTGGCCTTTGATCATTATTCTCTGTGCAGAGTCCCTCTGGGCTTGCTGAGAAATGCACTGAAAAACAAGCAGGAGGCCAGAGGGACTGGAGCTGATGGGAAAAGGGCACCATGGAGCCCTTTGGGTTCAGCTTTGGGTCTGGTTTCTCTCTTGTAGAGATTAAAACCAAATCTCTTTGCCAATCACTGGAGCAAAACACTTTTCCCTAAGCTGGGGTTTGTCCTCTGGTGTTGCTTCCACATGTGGGCACGTAGTAAGGTTTATGTTCATCATCTTACAAACCAGTTTCTTCTGTCTTTAAATGCTTTGCAGCCTGTGCTTGGCACCTCCAGTGTCTTGTTCTTGATGGCCTGTGGGCTTCTGCCCTTGTAATTCCAGCCCTCTGTGCAGATTTAACACAGAAGCATAGAATCCCAGCCTGGTTTGGGTTCAAAGGGACCTTAAAGCTCACCCAGCTCCAACCCCTGCCACGGGCAGGGACCCCTTCCACTGGAGCAGCTTGCTCCAAGCCCCTGTGTCCAACCTGGCCTTGAGCACTGCCAGGGATGGGGCAGCCACAGCTTCTCTGGGCACCCTGTGCCAGCGCCTCAGCACCCTCACAGGGAAGAGCTTCTGCCTTAGATCCCATCTAATCCTGGCTTTCTCCAAGCAGGCTGTGAGCCATGGGGTTGGAAAAGATAAAGAGATAAAATGACAGAGACAGCTTTTAGGGGAGTTGCTGGCTCTGGTACCTCTGCCCCTAAAGCCAGCACCTCTCGGCTCCAGTCTGCATTAACTGGATGGTCCCAATTGCGCATAGGCTTTGCTGTTGTTTACCAAGAAAAATCATTAGAATAGGGAAAAAACCCCTTATTTGGAAAAGTTTCCTTCTCCCATCCCAGTCAAAGCTCAACTTCCTTATCTATGCACAACTTTATTTCTTAGGGTAGTAATTCCCCTAGCAGAAGCTTGAGTCAGAAGCAGGAATATTACCTGGGTTTTTCAGTTGGATTGGCTAAGGGCAAGTAAAACCCCCTGAGCCTCAGCTGAGCACATCAAGCACTGGTGCACCCAGCATAGAAATACCTCGGGGGAGATGCTACAAATCTCAGTTTTTCATTAAGAAAACCCTCTGCAATCACAGCTGCCAGCTAAAACCAGCTGTTATCCCTGGAGATAACTCCTTTGGGTGATCCAAGCATTACTTATTTCCACCAGCCAAGAGGGAGCAGGCAGCATTTAGGCTAACAACGCTCTTCCTACATCGCTTGCAAGCTGAGGTAGCCATGGAGATGACTACAGAGAGGATCGTGCCCATGACAACTCTGCATGAGCATCTTGAGCATCTTCAGAGCAGCCTCATCTCTCCCTGGGCTTCTCCTTGCATCAGGCAGTGATTATTGGCTTGTCCTTGCTCCCACGCAGGCAATGGTAAAGCTTTCCCCCATAAGCAGCTCCCCTTCCAAGATAAAAGGGCAGAGAATGACACATATGGAGCAGATCTGGCATACAATGCC